GAACAGACCATGAGGGACAAAGCCATGTACAAAATGAATATACAAAGGACAAGGATCAGCGTGAGATGGTGCCATTTGACAAAGGTCCTTAGGAGGTGTCTTCAGTTGAGCTGGTACAAAATACTTTACATCACTTGGAGATGGTGAGAACTTGGCGATCAAACCAAACTGCTCCATCATGTCCAAGATGTCATCTTTGATAATGCCTTGTTGAATAAACTTGGAAAAGACATCATCAACAAGTTCCATGCAGAGGATGCCATTTTCCTCTAGTTCCCACCAGTAATTGTAATGTACAGGATCCTAAGAAACAACATCAGAATAACATTTAGGCGTACAGTTATAAACTTGTATATACTCAGCTACCTAGCATGAGGCTAAAGGTTTTGTTGATGATGGCTTCCTTGCAAGTACTGGGTATTTCTCTCAAATGGGAAATGGTTTCATGCCATGAATGCTGTTATAAACACAGAAATTCTGGAACATACATTTTAAAAAGAGACTGCCTCTTCATGTACCAGACATTCCTACTACATGTATCTTAGAGGCATTGCATCATGTAAATTCATCCATCATCATTCTCTAAAGGGTTGGCCAAATTAACAAACAGACAGTCAAAAAAGGTACTGTAAAATGTATTGAAGGTGAACATCAGGTAAAGGTAAAGCAATTTAATTTTCTTACCATTTTGTTTGAGTGCGGAATGGTTATCAGCTGCTTCAATAGGTCAATTAGCCACTGAGCCTTCAGAACAACTGTACTGCGATGTTTGATAATCATACCCAGGCCATGGTAGAAACTGATCATACCATCAAACTCATCTGCATCTTCTATAAAGCAATGCTTTTTGGCATAGCTTTGGAGTTGCTTTAGATGTCTGTGGTAAATCTGTTGAGCTATCAAAGCTTCAATCACCTTTTCAAACTGAAACCATCTAAAAGACAATCATGGAAAATGCATCACATTTCATGACAATGCATTATTTCTATTTTTTACTTTGTTCCAATGCTCTCATAGCTTTTGTATCTCAAATGACCAACAAAGAGAGTGCAAGAACCATTCAACTTGTCAAGATCATACATTTTTGTTTGAATATCAATGCCTTCCACAATTCTTGGATTTTGATTTGCTTGTCACACTGGAGCATCAAAAAATGCCAAAAAGATGTCATTCCCCTCACCTACCCATACCACAGAGAGTTGTCAGAAATTTATCAAAACCTTTGTTGAGTGACAGGAGTATGGCAGTCTTTTCTGCAATGCTTTTAAGAGATGTTCTAGCTACCACTGTTCAAAGAGTATCAGGTAAAGTCCATGCCCTGGATATTGGCTTAATACAATATATCTTATCCTGATTCTTCTCTGTTTTGAATTTTAGTGCACACGCGACAACCCAACTGAGTCCAGGCAATCACTTTTGTTTGTAGAAAATAATTTACCTGTCTGGAATTTTCTCCCCCATATGCATGTATGGTTCCTGTCTCAACACTTCCATGATTTTGTTCCGCAGTTTTTGAATGTCACCTGTGTTCCCCTTTAGCTCTGAAAATAAATACACTACATTTTGACACTTATTCTATAGTTATAGAGAAAATAGAGATATATTTACAGTGTGCATACAGGTCCTACAAATGAAAACGTTGAAATCTGGTGTGGTCTGAGTTTTCAACACACACAAATCTGGTCTCATGCTAGAGGTGCAAAGCTATGAGAACAAGCAAGTACAGATCAAAGGCTAGCAGCAAGGTGAGATATACCGTGCCCGGAATACGACTGTGTTTCAGGGTTTTTTTTTGTTAGCACGCTGGAATAACGTACCATTTACATGACATTCTTTCGAGCGAAATAAGGAGTTTTACTGAAACTAAAGTCTGAGAGACAACAGTGCAGTGAATGGCTACAAATACAGACCCTTTAATATAAGGGCCGTATGAACGTTCTAATTCCATATGAAAGGGAATTGAAGAACATAAGGGCCGTATGAACACACTAACTCCATTATGAAAGAGAATTGAAGAACATAACGACTGTATGAATGTACTAACTCCATATGAAAGAGAATTGAAGAACATAAGGGCTGTACAAACGTACTAACTCCATATGAAAGGGAATTGAAGAACATAAGGGCTGAAGAAGAACATAAGTTAATTAGCGTGATACACTTTGTTTGACTATGCACGAAGAGCGACCTAGTCTAATTGATAGTGGATGTCGATCTCTAAGCGTTGTTTGGATGATGAATTATTCCCTTCGCATCAATCAAAGATCGACAGGCCACAGTGCGTTCAAACAATAAGTTGTAAAATTTACTTAATCGAGTTCGTTGGCATGGTACAACGCAACAATGTTGAAACCACTAGAAAGTACATTATTATTGCACAGTTGTTCAAGACTGGTACGTTCGCAGGGCTAGAATGTAAGTACAAACAATGCCATAAACTTCAATCCATCAGAATTGTTAAAGCTCATACCTTTGAAACGCTAGTATGTAAGTATGGCAAGAACAACGTATATTAAAAGCCGTGAAGTTCGTAAGTATGTTAGTACGTACAATAGTAAAATGAGCTCGTACCTAAGAAACCCTAGTATGTAAGTATGGCAAAAACAACGTATATTAAAAGCCATTCGTTCATACGGCCCTTATGTTCTTCAATTCCCTTTCATATGGAGTTAGTACGTTCATACAGCCCTTATGTTCTTCAATTCCCTTTTATATGGAGTTAGTACGTTCGTACGGCCCTTATGTTCTTTAATTCCCTTTTATATGGAGTTAGTACGTTCGTACGGCCCTTGTTCTTCAATTCCCTTTCATAAGGAGTTGGTATGTGTGCACGGCAGTTACCCATAAATTAAAGACAACCAAAAGATACTCAGCTAGTAGGCAATCCATTAGTTACCCATAAATTGAAGACAACTAAAAGACACTCAGCTAGAAGGCAATCCGTTAGTACAGAAAGTACATGTAATAAAGGACAAAAATGAGAACGTCGCTCCTAAAGCGGGCACTATTTGTTTTTATAGCAAAGACAATTGGCAATTCAGAGCGCAACAAGGAAAATATAACCTCAAATTTAACATAATTAGGAAATTGGTGGGGGGAGTACGGTGAAGCCCCCTGGAACAGAAAATCCTGGGGGTCGGGGGTCAAACTGGAAAAAAACCCTCCGTGGGGGGTATGGATATTTTCTGGAACCACACATTCTTTCCTGTGCCCTGTCCACATGCACCAGCTGACGCTATATACAAGCTTAAGGTGATTCCTCAGAATTGCATTGTACATCCCTACTGTGCACAATTTTCGTGTCATTAGCGCACGCTCATGAGCGCGCGCGCTCATGAGCGTGTGCACGTACACAACATATGCAAAATGGTGGCTCCTGACTTGCGAGAGATAAATCATCATTTTTTTCTCAGAAACGAGTACCGGGAGCTACCGATTTTTTTATTTAGGTTGAATGCAGAGATCACCTTCTTTCTATAAAGTAAATATGGACCAATTTCTATTGCAGTGTAAAAGATTATCACGGAAAATGAGAGCATAGCTAGCACTCGTAAAAGATAGTATGTGGCCCCAAAACACTGCGTGCTTGGAACATATTGTATCTCTGTTGACTAAATATGAGTGCCCTTATCATGGAACGTACATCAAATTGCTCCTTAACATTTATAAAATACCTCTATTGTTGTATTTCTCGCTTAACTTTCTCTCTATTTTTCTGCTCTCTCAATGCGTAGGTGAATGGTTCAAATATAAACGTTTCTGAAAGCAGATAATTTCAGGAATTATGGGGTTTATTGTAGGTCCTCCTGCTCCTAAACGAATATGGGGGGACCCCCTTTTTTATTTCAAATTTTAAGTTCTATTGATATAAGCAGCCAACAGGCAAAGTTCGAAAGAAAATCTATTGTGAGTTCTATTTCGATGGAATTAAGCTTACCTTAAACTAAAAGCTGGCTGAATATAATTCACGTTAATTGAGCATCTGTACATTAAACATTTCTTACCTTAGACTAATAACAGGAAACAGGCGATTCCTTTAGCTGTAGCTGTTTTGAAATACTTTCGCTTTCAAGACAACTCTGTCTCCCCTACAGCATTTTAAATGCCGCATGCGCGACCACTCCTTCTTATACGACAAGACTGGTCTCCTCCGCAATCGTTTTTGTGGATGCCGTATCCTAGATACCTACATCCTATTTGCGGTCATGTTGTAATGTAACAATAGAAGCTTCGGAAGCCAATCAGATCACGAAAAACGCAATCGATTTACCGTCAATTACATCTCGATGTAACACGAGTTGTTTTCGGTAGTCGGCCTATTCTACGACTTTGGACGGGTCTCTACGATCGTCAACGATTACGATACGGATAAATCCGATCTTCCAAATATGGTCTGCGATAAATATCCTC